TGAGCACAGGAAGCAGAGCTTCAGTGACAGGAGAAGCAGAAAGCTCAGCTCTGAATTGTTGGCTCTCACCTAGAGATGAATCAGATTAATAGGGAAAGATGTGGCAATTTCAACAATTCAGTATTTTTTTCTAAGAGAAATGTGAAAAAATTTCAAATGCAACAAACTCCCTGTTATGTCACTTTGGGTTCTTACCATAGGTGTTTTCCGGTAGTAAAGAAACACCACAAACACAGCTGTTGTCACTGCGGCACCAGACACAGCTGCTGTAGTCAGAGTAATGCCCAAAGTTTCATTGAAGGAAAGGAAGTCCAGCTGACGTGGTACACAAGCTGTTTTTTCAACATTGGACCAGAAATCAGAAGGACAACGCTCACAGTGAAGGGAACCTGAGAGAGGAGAAAATGAGAGAGAGAGAAGGAAAATAAAACACAAAGAGGAAAATTAAGATTACAAATTTTACATTACAAACATATCTGTCATGTTTTGTAGTGGTTTTCTCACCAGTTTTATTGCTAATCTCCCCATCAGCACATGGGATACAGTCAAAGCAGCAGAGAGGTTCTCTTTTCCTGTTTGCTTTTCGGGTACCTGGGGGGCAGCTCTCACTGCACACTGAAACAGGCACCTTAACAAAAGTCAGTTAATATTCTCCATTACGTAATCTTGTGAATTGACAAAGACATTCATTTAAACTGCATTGTTTTCAGGAGCCTTGAAACAACTTGTTGATCTACCTGATTGGATCCTGTGCTCCACTGAATAGCTGACTCATTAAGATGGAGGTTGAACCCTTCTACACGACCTATCAAAACAAGTTTGAGTGGCCCCTCAGGGGTCTTTTGCCAGTTGACAAGGTCGTACTTTGCTGGAATGTCGGCTCCTTGGAAATAAAACATTTCCCCTTGTGGTGTGGTGACGTTCACTTTGTTCAAGTGATGCAACAGCTGAAAACATTAAATGTTGAAAAAGTGTGTATGTGTAAAATGTAAATTCAGTTTAAGGACTAATATTTGTGTGGATAAGATGTTTACCTCTATGGGTTGGATGTGTTTTGGAGAGAAGCATGTGGAACTGTTGTTTCCAGGAGGGCTGTCTGTGTCGGGGCAGGACAGAAGGCTGTGAAGTGCATGGCCTGCAGCATAAACAGCAAGATAGACATTATATGCCACCCTTAGCTGAGAGGTGTCAGTGAAAGGATGCTGCACTCCCTCCAGGGACTCTGTTCCACTGCAGGGTGGTAGAGTAGCTTTCTGGAGATAAAGCGTCTCTACCCGCCTGGCTGGAGTAGAAGTATTGGGCAGATTCTTTCGTGGTGAAGAGAAATATGAAGAGAGAGGTGTTGCATTTGATTGTTTATCTTCAGGACTGCATCCAAACTCTTTTTTCCAGAGGTCCCGTAAGAATTCATCATCAGGACGATTAATTGGGTGCAAACGCCTGAGATAATTTTCAAATCCAGGTATTGTTGAACTTCGAATGGCCACACCAAGAACACCATTTGCCACTTCAGAGATGGTAAGATCTTGGAGAAGATCATCACTGGTGCTCCAAGCCTCACTGGCCAGAAACTGTCTGTCAGTCACCTATGACAAGAAAAACAGCATTTGTTCTCACAAAATATATGTTTTTGTTAAAAGATGAACCCTTTAGTTTACACAAATTTCCATTTCAGTTGCTCACATTTATCTTGGTCAGTTCCAAAAATACTTTCTTTACATCAGTGTACCAGCAAAAGATCAGAATCACCCTCGTAGTCGAAGCTTGAATTGTTAGTGCTGCTCGTCTGGCATCACTCACAATATTTTCCCTTTGGAGAGTCTCTACAAATTCCAGACACACCCCTTTTCCCTGAATTTCTTCCTGAAATACCTGAAATATGGATGGAAAAACAAATATCGGTATGTTTATATATGTCTTATTTGTACTACAGTTGAAGGAGATACATGAGAGACTGTCCCATTCAATTTACAGTATAATAACAAAAACATATACCTGTATTGCCAATTGACCATAATCATTGTTTTCTACCACTGCTCCCATCCAAGTCCAGTGGAAACGTATGGCCAGTTGTGCCATGGCCCGGGCTTGGTAAATATCACTGGGGATTGTTCTGAAGAAGTTAGGAAACTTTGTCCTGTCACTAAGACAGGGGCAACTAGCCAAATAACTGATCTGAAGGACAATCACAGAATAAGTATTTTTTGACATTAATTTTACAGCAATAACACCATTTTATTTTTAATCAAAATGTTTTAACAATCATATCAGCCTCTTCATATAGACTGCACAAAAAAAGGTGAATCTGGGGTAATGAAACTCACAAATGGCACAGAGAGAGGCCCCAGGATCCTGGAGAGCATTATGCCTGTTGTAGATGAAGCAGCAGCAATGAGCAACGGAACAGGTTGACCGCCTGCTGAAAGCATTAGACATATAATTACATAACATCAATCTTTTTTATAACACAATCATATCAGTTGTTATTTTCATTGACATAGCAAATATTAACTGCATACTAAATTATATCAAGTCATACCTGCTGTCTCTCCAGGTTGTTCAAAGGCTGCAGAATGAGGTATAGAGGCTGCTATGTTACAGCTGTGTGTGTCTCCTCCGACCATTGACATTGCACCTTGCAGAGCCCAGGGGTATCGGGAACAGCTATCAAGTATATGGTAGCCCAGCTTCACTCCTGGTAGCAGGGTGCTGTTACGATTGATTTCCTCCACCGCAAACACCATAGCATATGTATATTTCAACGGCTCTAAATCTAAACTGAGACCACATTAAGACAGGAACTGTGAATGAAATACACTACAATATCAGCTGAAAGATAACAATAGTTATCATGGACATAAATATAGAAAAAGCAAGTACCCCAAAATATGTATACATGCCAATATAAATCTTTTAATAACTACACTATAATCAAAATGTTTTTATCTCATGTATAACTTTGCTTTTTTTCTTAAAAATTAACCTATTATAAAACATTATGAGTTCTATAAACACTGCATAACATGCACATGACAAAATATATTGAAAAATACAGAAAATGTGCTGTCTTCATATGAACAACATAACAATCACCAGAAATTCAACAACAAAAATGCATGCTGTAATTAAGTTTTACCCTGTGCAAGGTTCGTAATGTGGCAGCTCTATGAAGCCCTGCTCTACAGCTGATGGTATGTAATACAGATTAAACAGTCCGCCGATAATCACGTCTCCATCCTGGGAGAGGCTCTTGTTCCTTGGTACACCCCACCTGGAGCACAGTATCGCCTGAACCACTTCTAGCCCCACTACACTGAGAAGCAGGAGTGAGAGGGCTGAGGAGGGCCACTGAGTGAGGAGCCAGAGGAACCAAGACATGGATGTTCTGGACATGTAACACATAAAAATAATTGTTATCTAAATGTCTGCACAAAACATAGGAGCAATTAATTCAGTCTGTGTAAAACACAATTCACATCAAACCCGACAAAAGAGGTACCTCGTGTTCAACAGTCCATGTTACCAAAGACAAATCCCATTAAATTCAACATGTCCAAATGAAACATCATAGCTTGGTGTCAGTTACCTGCAAAAAGAAAAGATGTTATTAGCAGAAACATGTTGCACTCAATTAAAAATCTCCTATCACAAGACAATTTTCAACCCTTGACTAAAGCATATTGTGCCCCTACTCTGCATGAGCCAAGTGTTGTTATGAGTATTTATAATAGGTGTAAAGCGTTTTCAGTAAAACTGATGACACAAGCAGCACACAACCAAAAAATAGTCCTCTCTAGAGTGATGGTGGAAAAACAATCAAATAAAGTGATTAGTGTGTATGAGTCAGCAGAAGGTAAAAAGCCTTCAGGCAGCATAACTTCAGAATAAATGCACTTGAGGATGTACAGATAACATGCAACCTCACTCTCAGGATTATTTTCAAGATATCTTATTATTAGTTTCTTCTGGACAATTATGAAATCAGCTATTTTATGTTGCACCACTAATTTGCCATGGACAGTTATGTTCATCAGCTCGTCTGAACTTTTAGCTGAGGTGTCACATCAGGAATCTTAGAAATATATATATATATAACTGCTCTTCAAAGTTATAATTTTTGTCATACTGCAACAGAATAATGCATCCACAAACACTTGAAAGGAAACTGCTATCCTTATTTTTATCAAATATCATATAAAAAAGTGAAATTATATTTCAGTTGTATTTCACCTGGGCCATGATAGGGAGCTATAGCCACCAACAGCAACCCCTTTTCTGTGAATAACTAATCTATAAATTGTAATGTTATTTCCTTTAAAATGTTATGTTTTCTGAGAAACTGGGAGTTTTATTCAGTTGATGAACCATTTTTAATCAAAACACAGAAAAAAAGAACAACCAAATACATGAATACAAAATACATTAATAACATTTTAGTTAGCAGCATTTAATCTAAATTTGTAATTTTCTTTAATGGTCGATAAATAATGTTACATTAGCATTTAATGATGTCTAAGAACAGCGAAAATATTGTTGTATATTCAGTTAGCAATGAAAGCTATAACTATGTGTGGCTGCAAGACATTTGTTTACTTCATAAAGCTAAGCACAAGAATTAACATTATTTAGAGGATTTTACATAACACATGCACATGAGCATATGCATTATACAGGGCCAGGGCAAGCTGGGGGGCCACCAGACAAATATGATGAAGAGTCATGTGCTCACGTTCAAGCCAGAAAATCTATCTGGCCATCAGGTGTTTCTTAGTGTTTTTATCAGGCCTCAAGAGAATGATGAAACATTTGGGGGCAAAAATGCAGAGCAGTAACCCATAGCTGGAGGCCAGAATTGCAAAAATTTCCACAGCGACAACATACTTCCCAGGAGAGCTAACGTAAGCAGGGACAAAGGCCACCCAGACAGCACAGAATATCAGCATGCTGAAGGTGATCAGTTTGGCCTCATTGAAGTTGTCAGGGAGTTTCCGAGCAAGAAAAGCCAAAAGGAGGCAGGAGCAGGCCAGCAGGCCAATGTAGCCCAGAACCAGAGAGAAGCCCACCACGAGGCCAGGCACATTCCAGTGTGACCTTTGACCCTCTGTAACCCAGGATCAGGTTGAGGAGCTGGGGGACTTTGAGGGGACCAACCATATTGGCCACAGATGATAACCTGAATGAAAAGCCTAAACAGATTTTCAGTGATATGTTTTCATACACAGTGTGTTTTATCATATATATAATAAAATGTTCTCATAATTAAATCAATAAAACAATAACAACACCTGTATACAGGTAAAGAGGCAGACACTTCCTCTCTGTTGGCCTGGACCAAACCACTTCAACAAGGTTTCTGCACCAGGTCGAGCTGAGCGGAAAACAGCAAGAACCACGAGGGTTTTCACCAGAAGGCAGGAAACACAAAGTACAAAGCTGATCCCAAAAGCTGCCTGCTGGAATCGACAAGACCAGACCGATGGACGACCAATGAAGACCAGTGAGCACAGGAAGCAGAACTTCAGCGACAGAAGAAGTAGGAAGCTCAGCTCTGAATTGTTGGCTCTCACCTACAGGTGAATCGGATTAACAGACAAAGATGTGGCAATTTCAACAATGCAATACTTTTCGAGAGAGAAATGTGAAAGAATTTAAAATGCCTGCAACAAACTCCCTGTTATGTCACTTTGGGTTCTTACCATAGGTGTTTTCCGGTAGTAAAGAAACACCACAAACACAGCTGTTGTCACTGCGGCACCAGACACAGCTGCTGTAGTCAGAGTAATGCCCAAAGTTTCATTGAAGGAAAGGAAGTCCAGCTGACGTGGTACGCAGGCTGTTTGTTCAACATTAGACCAGAACTCAGAAGGACAACGCTCGCAGTGAAGGGAACCTGGAAGAGGAGAAAAATGAGGAAGAGAGGAAAGGAAAATAAAACACAAAGAGGAAAATTAAGATTACAAATTTTACATTACAAACATTTCTGTCATGTTATGTAGTGATTTTCTCACCAGTTTTATTGCTAATCTCCCCATCAGCACATGGTATACAGTCAAAGCAGCAGAGAGGTTCTCCTTTCCTGTTTGCTTTGCGTGTACCTGGGGGGCAACTCTCACTGCACACTGAAACAGGCACCTAAGCAAAAAGCCAGTTAATATTCTCAATTTTGTAATAAGACATTCATTTAAACTGCATTTTTTTCAGTAGCCTTGAGACAACTTCTTGATCTGTCTACCTGATTGGATCCTGTGCTCCACTGAATAGCTGACTCATTAAAATGCAGGTTGAACCCATCTACATGACCAATCAAAACAAGTTTGAGTGACCCCTCAGGGGTCTTTTGCCAGTTGACAAGGTCGTACTTTGCTGGAATGTCGGCCCCTTGGAAATAAAACATTTCCCCTTGTGGTGTGGTGACGTTTACTTTGTTCAAGTGCTGCAACAGCTGAAAGAAGAAACTGTGTATGAAAAATACATATATTCAGTTGAAGAACTAATTCTTTGGATAGGATGACACAGTGATATTCTCATTTACCTCTCTGGATTTGATGTGTTTTGGAGAGGTGCATGTGGAACTGTTGTTTCCAGAAGGGCTGTCTCTATCGGGGCAGGACAGAAGGCTGTGAAGTGCATGGGCTGCAGCATAAACAGCAAGATAGACATTATATGCCACCCTTAGCTGAGAGGTGTCAGTGAAAGGATGCTGCACTCCCTCCAGGGACTCTGTTCCACTGCAGGGTGGTAGAGTAGCTTTCTGGAGATAAAGTTTCTCTACCCGGCTGGCTGGAGTAGAAGTATTTGAGAGATAGTCATTTTTTTGTGGTGAAGAAAAATATAAAGAGAGAGGTGTTGCATTTGATTGTTTAGCTTCAGGACTGCATCCAAACTCATTTTTCCAGAGGTCATGTAAGAATGCATCATCGGGACGATTAATTGGGTGCAAACGCCTGAGATAATTTTCAAATCCAGGTATTGTTGAACTACGAATGGCCACACCAAGAACACCATTTGCCACTTCAGAGATGGCAATGTCTTGGAGAAGGTCATCACTGGTACTCCAAGCCTCACTGGCCAGAAACTGTCTGTCAGTCACCTACAGTGAGAGGATACTGAAATAAATCATGATAAGAACATTTTTTATCTTGCATGTCTTTGTTAAATGATGAACCCCTTAGTGTAGACATATTTTTATTCCAGTTGCTCACATTTATCTTGGTCAGTTCCAGAAATACTTTCTTTACATCTGTATACCAGCAGAAAATCAGAATCACTCTTGCAGTCGAAGCTTTAATTGTGAGTGCTGCTCGCCTGGCATCACTCACAATAGTTTCTCTGTGGACAGTTTCTATGAATTCCAAACACACCCCTTTCCCCTTAGTCTCTTCCTGAAATACCTGAAATATGGAAGTAAAAACAAGAAACATTTTCATACATACCTGTATCTTATTTGTAATATACACAAAGGACATACAAATGAGACTTTTTCAGGCATTTTATAAATTAAAAAAAATATACACCTGTAATGCCAATTGACCATAATCATTGTTTACTACCACTGCTCCCATCCAATTCCAGTGAAAGCGTATGGCCAGTTGTGCCATGGCCCGTGCTTGGTAAATATCACTGGGGATTGTTCTGAAGAAATTAGGAAACCTTGTCCTGTCACTAAGACAGGGGCAACTAGCCAAATAACTGATCTGAAGGAAAGACATACAGTTTTGATTGAAATGTTTTAAAATCATATCAGCCTTTTGCTGTTGACTGTACACAAAAGGTGAATCAGAGGTTTATTTTCTGGGGTAATGAAACTCACAATTGGCACAGAGAGAGGCCCCAGGGTCCTAGACAGTATTATGCCTGTTGTAGATGAATCAGCAGCAATGAGCAATGGAACAGGTCGACCACCTGCTGAAAGCATTAGACATATACTTACATAACAACAATCTTTTTTATAATACAATCACAATAGTTGTTGTACATAGCACATGTTAACTGCATACTAAATTATATCAAGTCATACCTGCTGTCTCTCCAGGTTGTTCATAAGCTGCAGAATGAGGTATAGAGGCTGTTACATTGCAGCTGTGTGTGTCTCCTCCGACCATTGACATTGCACCTTGCAGAGCCCAGGGGTATCGGGAACAGCTATCAACTATATGGTAGCCCACTTCACTCCTGGTAGCAGGTGCTGTTACGATTGATTTCCTCACCGCAAACACCATAGCATATATATATTTCAACGGCTCTAAATCTAAACTGAGACCATGGGAAAAAAGGAATAGTGAGTAAAATAAACTACAAAATCAATTAGTAAAAGAAACTTAATCATGGACATTCATTCATTCATAACCGTTAATATAAAAACTAAAAATATCCAAAAATATGTATGGCAAAATACACAATAATCATAGCTTCATATTCCTTCCTTCCAGCTCAGATTAGAATTAATCTTGCCTGTATGTTAACAAAAACATATGAACATGACAATAAGTCATCATATGAACAACATAAAAACTACAAGACATTCAACAGCAACACATGTTCTGATTAAGTTTTACCCAGTGCAATGTTTATAATGTGGCGGCTCGGTGAAGCCCTGCTCTACAGCTGAAGGTATATAATACAGATTAAACAGTCCTCCAATAATCACATCTCCATCCTGGGAGAGCTTCTTTTCGCTCGGTGCACCCCACCGGGAGCACAGTATCGCCTGAACCACCTCCAGCCCCAACTGTCGGCCCACTACACTGAGAAGCAGCAGGGAGAGGACTGTGGAGAACCGCCGAGTAAGGAGCCAGAGGAACCAAGACATGGATGCAGCTGTTCTGGACATTCAACACATATAAACAATTGTAATCTGAATATCAGAATATGCACAAAAAATGCAATTAATGCATTAAAACACAATTCACATCCAACCTGACCAAAGAGTGCACTGAGTTCAGAAAAAAACAAATACCTTGTAGACAATGTTAAACAGTTCCTGTTATCAAAGACAAATCCCATTAAATTCAAAATGTCATCATAGCTTCATGTCACTTGCAAAAAGAACGGACAGAAACATGTTTCCCCTTGGTTAAAAATCCCCTATCACAAGACAATTTTCAACTCTGAAAATGGTATCTTGACTAAAACATACCCCCCTTCCCACTCTGCATATGTGAAGTGTTGATGTGAGTCTTTATAATAGGTGTAAAGTGTTTGGCAAGGAAGAAAACTGATGACACAAGCAGAACACAACAAAAAATATTCCTCTCTAGAGTGATGGTGGAAAAACAATCAAATTCTAGCTAGTTAGCAGTGATGTGTGTGTATGTTATGTTTCCTATAGATACAATACTGCATGATGTCATTCGAATTGAGGTAAATTAGGTAAATTTCATGTTTTGAAAGATAAGCAAGTGAAATGTTTTGGCTGTTTAACTCTTAATCAGCTGAAAAGTTGAAACTAAACTGTTTGTGTCCTTTTCTCTTAGATATGCAAGAAATATTTAACTGTGATTGATCCATAAAACTTATCAAAGTGTAGGTGAGTCTAGGTTGAAACCAGTATGGGGAATTGTATGCCCGGAGCAACAGGTGTGCCATTTGTCAGGTCTATTAAACAGTAATTTCATGAGCAATTACATCCCATTATGTTCAAGGTGGCATATGGGGAAAGATGAGGCTGTTTATGACTTACAATAAATATATTTTAAGCTTGAGCTGCAATCTTGATTAATTTTCTGCTACTATATATCATCTTGAATATAACAGGAAATAAACATGGAATTTCTTGAAATCAGATATTTCAATATTTTATTGCATTGGTAGGAAAATGCTCACAGTCCTCTGATGAGCAACAATACAAAGAAAAAAGGATGGTGTAACACTGAAACAATAAAAAAAAAACTGCTTTGCCACCCTTCTTTCCTCAGCCTGGCCCTGTGTAGTTGTCACTCTGTTTTTTCATTCCATTAAGTTATACAAAATAAAATCACCATAACCAACAAGTGATTATTTTTGCAGGCTGTATCAAAGTAATTATAAAAATAAAAACCTTTAAACTCCAAATCTTTAAAATTTGTAATCACATTTTCAAATTCTACAAATCATAGACAGCAACAAGTCAAAGCATGGAAGTCTTGTACTGCACCTAACACAAACAAGCCTATGTCCTCTGTTGTATCCAATGCAACTATTTCTCTGTGCAATTGTTGTTGGGCGATGCAACATCTATTGTATAAATTGGTGCATAGTCATGCTTGACATGTTCACAGGTAACATGCACAAACAGTTAGAATTGGAACTAAAACCCATCTCAGATTAAAAACAATGACAGGAATATTTACACACAATACAAATAAAGAAATACTACTGAAAAGAGAAGGAAGACTTACATTTGATCTTTGAAAAGATGATTACCATCCATTAAAAGTAGCTGTTTGATTATACTACACATTCAAATGATACAAAGAAAGACATTCCCTCTCTGCTTACAACCCAATTCTTTTTTTTTTGCTTCATAGTCAATGTACAAAGTTTGGACGGTACATCACAGGGACAAAGATAACAAATATCTGTACAATCAGTCGAGGAAGCCATTTTGAGGGAATCAAAGTTCCCACAAACATTTACACATCAAGCAGAATATAGACAATACACTGCCAGACTAAAAAGACCATTCACATAGTGGACATTTCATACAGGAAATTCATGCTGTCAGATCCAACCATGGATTATATGTGGTGTTTCACTTACATTGTACAGACTATACTGTATCTTTAGTCCAGAATAAGATTTATTTAACTGTTATAAGAGAAACGTACTGGTCTGTGAACATGGGAACAAACAATAGCAAGTATTTATCTCCTTCATCATCAAGAATCACTGCTTGATTGTTCATCTCATTTTACAGTCTAAGCAGAAAGTAGACCTCAGGCTCTGACGCAGAGTGGTTGGAGTCAGCAGGTGGAAGAGAGTCATCAGTATAATATCGATCTCCATAATGATCCCCATTTCCATAATGTAATGATGTACAAGCTCCTTCAGGAAGTCCCCTGTCCTCCAGCTGGCCAAGGTAACCTGCTATGTAAGAACCAGTTGAGTGTCTGTTAGCTGGTGGATTCTGTGAGGCTGGTTTATTCCTCAATACTACCCCCCCAAGGCTGGCGGTACTGTTGATCACCACACCTGCCCGAGGCTTCAGAGCCTCTTGCTGTCTTTCGCGGGCACGGCTGTTGATGTGACGCACTCGGCTTTGACTGCGAGAGGATAGGCGGCGTGTCAGGAGTGGAGGGGAATCATCTACATCCCTGGGCACAACTGGAGCTATACTTGTTGCCTGTGGCTGTGATATTGGGGATTTTTCTTCCTGGCGCAACTGAGGAGGTTGGGGCCTATCTCTGTCACTGTCATCCCCCTCCAGACTGACCAGCCTACGAAGCTGTTCTGTGAGTGGATCACAAGACTGTGATTGGAAAGTTACTCCCCCCATGGTGCCCATCCTCTTTTGCTTCCTCATATGGGGAGTGATGAAACTGCGACTAATAATGTGGTATTTGCTCTGGAAGTTGCATGATATGTCTTCAGAAGTCAAGTCTCCCAGGGACTTGGACTTGCATGGGCTCGGAGCTGTCGAGTCTATGGTATCTGGCTGGGATTTTATTGATAAAGGGCCTAAATTTGAGTGCAGTGAAACTCTGGATTCAGGCTCTGGCTGGTGCCTTGTATTATTAAGGGAAACCTTTTGGTTCCATGACTGTTTTGGAGAGTATGATTGTGTTTCCCTTTGGCAGTATGGCTGGGTGTTTTGAGGGACCAAAGACTCTGATGGGGAGATGATGCAGTCATAGTCCAGGTGGCTGTATACTGCATCACAGTCTGAAGAAGGGGAATATAGATTTCTGTCTTTGCAGATGTTTATAGACGCAGAAGATTGGCCAGGGAGGCTTTCAGATGAGGAGAAACCATTGTGAAAGGACCTTACTTGCTCCCTCTCTATTTGTTTATACCCTAACCTATCTTGATGAGACCTATTTAGGATCTGGCTGCCACTATAGCTCCTCTGTTGTGTGCAGGAACTACTGAAGTCTCTGTTGTTGCTAAAGGCCTCAGAATTGCTCAGAGGAACGGGGTAGCTGTTCTGACGCAGTGGACTCGGGTTGGAAGGTCTAGAGTTGGCGGTTATGTGAAACGGAGAAGGCTGGGAGTTGTTCAGATGTTGGTGGTGACTGGGCAGCTGATAGGAAGGTTGATTCATTGGGGAGGGACACTGTGAAAATGCTACATGAGATGCATGGGACGGGTACTGTTGTTGAGGATCACGGTATGATGAAGGCTGTTTTTGTTGGTAGTAGTTCGGTGTGGACTCATGGTTTTGATAAATAGCATGCCGTTTGGTTGGACTTATGAGCCCCTCCCATTGACTGTCATGTCTCAGCGAGGTCAGGGATATCTCCAGTGGATCTTCATCCACATTTATCTCCACTTCTGCAAAAGCATTACCAGCTGAGTCCTGGAGAAACTGAAAACAGTCATTGTTTACAGAGGAACCCATGTACCTTTTAGAAGTACCCCATTCTATCTCTTGTAGTGGTGCTGGGGGATCGTGCACTTCCTCGTATACACTCTCCTCAGCCTCCTCAATTTTTTCACTCTCGCCCCTCTTTCTTATATCATCCCAGCCCGCATTGTGCCCTTTCCCTAAACCCTGAACTGTCTTTGCTGGAGAAGACCCAAAGCCGTTTGATGGTGTGCTCCCCATAGTGTCTGCCTGAATATGGACAGTCTGTTTCTTCAGGTTGTACACTGACACAGGCAATAGCACCTCCTCATCCAAAATGGTGTAGACCTCCTCAAGCTCAGCAGTTTCCGGGCTGGAGAGGAGGGCTGAAGCAGCTGTCTGTGAGATGATTTCATGTTTTACATGATTTGTTTTTTGAGCTACTTTTTGGGGACTTAATAGGTGTTTCTTGTTAGCAGATGCAGTGTTGGTCTTGAGAGGAGAGCTTAACTCTTGCAGAGGAGTGGTAGGCCTGAAGTTTGAGTGGCGGAAGGGGGTATGATTATGAGATAAAGTTGTGAGATCGTTTTGGTCAACAGTGCTTTCAAATTGACCAATCAAAGCAGAAATAGAGCCACATGTGTCTTGCTCATTGTAGGACACAGCATCAATGAGTCTGGAGATGGTGCTGTCATGCAAAGAGGTGGGACTCTTCAGATCACAGTCCATCCTGACAGGGGAAAGAGGGGCTATAGAGGAGGGGGCAGAGGAGGATGACGAGGAGATGGAAGGTGCAACTGTGAATGTTGTACTATTTGATGATGTTTCTGGTTTATTTGATCTCATCTGGCTGTTCGAGGAAGGTGAGACGAAACAGTTTTTCTCTATTACTGTGGAGCTGTTTTTTGACTTGTTGACTCCATTGTCTTCTGACTGGTAATTGGCATAATCTTCTTCCTTTCTTTCTTCTCCTCCACCAATAACCAGATAAGAAGCCTCCTTTGATTGGTCAAATTTGTTGTTTCTGTTAACGTATGTCTTAGAAGGGGAAGAGATGTTTGGTTCAATAGAGAATGATGATTCGATGAAAGGGTCCAAAGAGGAAGACCTGAGCCTGTTGAAGGGGCAAGCTCCTGTGGACACAGATAATTGAACAAAAAGATTAAGACAGGCTTATCAATTGCATTTGAGGTACAACATCAAGCCAACCAACAATTAAATGACAACAATTAACAGTCCAGCCAATACCAGGCAATAGCAATACACAGACAAATGGATCACCAAGTACAACTGTGAAGGGGTAGCTGGAAAATGAGGCTGTGAAGGTT